ATCACCTCACATTTGACCGGACTAAACTCCATCTGCCATTTTTCTGCCCATGCCTCCAACTAATCTATATCTTACTGTATCAACAATCCTCCTCATTATCTGCAACTCCGCTGATCTTTGTATCGTCTGCAAACTTACCTATTAGACCAGCCACATTTTCCTCCAAATCATTTATGTCGACCATGAACAGCAGAGGTCCCAGCACTGATCCCTGTGGAACACCACTAATCACAACCATCATTTCCAAAAAGCATCCTTCCATTGCTACCCTCTATCTCCTTTGAATAAGCCAAAACTGTATCTGAATTGCACACCCAAACTATCTTTTTTAAATATTCATTCACAGGATGAGAGTGTTGCTGGTGAATTCAACATTTATTGCCCGTCCCAGAGGGAGTTAAGAGTCAACCACATTGCTGAGTGTCTGGAGTCACATGTACCAGATTAAGTAAGGATGGCAGTTTCCTTTTCTCAGAGATATTAGTGAACCAGGTGGGCTTTTCTGACAATTGACAATAGATTCGTGATCATCATTAGATTTAAATTACAAACTTTTACTGAATTCAAATTCCACCACCTGCTGGGGCAGGATTCAAACCTGGGTCCCCAGAACATTAACTGGGTCTCTGGATTAATAGTCCAGCAATAATACCACAGGTCATTGCCTCCCCTATCTGCAACCTTAGCCAAGCTGGTCCAGTGCAGCTATAACCCTGTCATCAACCCAGCAATGTGGAAAACTGCTCAGATATATCCTGTCTGCAAAAACAGATTATATCTAATTCAGTTAATTACCACCCTATGAATTTACTCCTGATCATTAGCCAAATGATGGAAAGGATCATTGATAACGTGATCAAGAGGCACTTGCTCATCAATAATCAGCTCAAGACACTTAGTTTGGGTTGTGCCAGAGTTACTCATGACCTCATTTACAGCCTTGGTTCAAATATGAGCAGAACAGGTGAACTCCAGAGGGGAGGCAAGGGTGACTGCCCTTGACAACAAGGCCGCATATGACCAACTATTATATCAATATGTGTGTGTGGGGCAGGGAAAGAAGACTGTCTGCTGGTACTGAAGCAGTCCATGTTCACATGCAGTAAGACCTGCACAACATGTAGGGTTGGGCTGAGAAGTGGCAAATAACATTCACAGCATGCATGTGCCAGGCTATGACTATCTTCAACAAGAAAGAATCTACTTAGCTTTCTCAGATGTTCAATGTTGTTACTATCACTGAATCACGACTATTAACATCCTGAGGGTTACCACTGACCAGAAACTGAACTGGTCTAGCCATATAAATATGGCTGTCTACAGCAGAAGTTCAGTGGATAAGAAATCTGCAACAAGTAACCACCCTTCTGTTTCCCAATGCCTGTTCATTGATAGGGCACAAGTATTATGGAATACTCTCCATTTGCCAAGTTCAGGGCAGCTCCAACAACACTCAAGAAGCTCAACACCAACCAGGAAAGAATGGAGAACATGATTGGCACTCCATCCATCATCTTAAACATCCACACCTTTCACCACTGATGAATGCATGGTGGCAGCAGTACAAAGCATCTGCAAAATGTACTGCAGTCATTCAATAAGGCTCCTCAAACAGCACCTTCTGAATGCCTGACTTCGACTATCCAGCAGGGCAAGTTCAGCAGCTGCATGAGAAAACCACCATGTGTAAATTCTTATCTAAGCTATGTATTATCCTAACTATATTGCCATTCCTTCCCAGTAGCTGGGTCAGAATCATGGAACTCCCTCCCTAACCACATTTGTTTGTCTATACCCCAAGGACGGCAGTGCTTCAGGAAGGCATCTCACAACCACCTATTCAAGGGAAATACATGTTGACCTAGCCATTGACACTCACATCCAAAGAATAAATAATTTAAAAAGGGCACTGCTTCTGCTATGAGTCCGGAGATAGGCGATCCCATGGTTGTGCCGTTCGGCCAAACATACGAGCAAATCAACAGGATACCCATGGGATCGCCTATCTACGGACTCATAGCAGAAGCAGTGATGCAAAGACTGAAAAGGACTGACATTCCGCAAATGCAAGCTAAACTATGGATACACTACGTAGACGACAACTTTGTCATCATTAAACGGACCAAATTAGAAGAGACGCACAAGCTCATAAACAACACCTTCAGCGGAATAAAATTCACCAGAGAGGAGGAGAAGAACAAACAACTCCCATTCCTGGACATCATGGTAGAGCGCAAGACAAATAGGGAACTGCAAACGAAAGTACACCGAAAAGTCACACACATAGACCAGGTATTGAACTTCATTAGTAACCATCCCAGCACACACAAACGAAGCTGTGTGCGAACACTATTTAAAATGGCAACAACACACTGCAGCAACATGGAACTACGCCAAGAGGAGGAGGAATACCTCTGCCAAGTGTTCAAGGATAATGGATATCCAAAGAACTGGGTCAGGAGATGCCTACAGGAACAGCATCAGAAAGATTCTACACACCCCGACACACTCATCACACTACCCTACATCAGGAACATGTCAGAACTCACCACAAGACTCCTACGACCCCTAGACATCAGAGTGGCACACAAGCCCACATCAACCCTATGACAAGTGCTCGCCCAAACGAAAGACCCACTCCCTGCCATGGACAGGACCAATGTCATCTACAAGATCCCCTGCAGAGACTGCGAAAAACACTACATCGGACAAACAGGAAGGAAACTAACAACAAGGGTACATGAACACCAACTGGCTACAAAAAGACACGACCAATACTCACTCATCTCAATCCATATGGACAAGGAGAACCACTACTTCGACTGGGACAATACCAAGATCCTGGGACAGGCTAGGCAGAGACAAGCATGAGAATTCCTGGAAGCATGGCACTCCACGAAGCATGCTATTAATAAACACATTGAACTCGACTCCATACACATTCCACTACGGAGGAAACCCGGAAGTGAGGCAATCTATCGCAACGGACACCAGAGTTTAAAAACCAGGTGGGAAAACACACCGACGCTTCATCAGAGGCTGCGCTGAGGATGTTACCAAGCACGGTAACGAAACGTCTACGCAACAACAAACCAGCTCAGCGAGCCAACCAACCTCAACACCCACAACCCCAGCTGCAGATCTACTCCAAAACCTTAGACACTAATTGGTTGTTGAGATACTGAAATCCGTTTCAGCTGTGGTGCATCTGAAAGCTGGCGTGTGCCTCCCAGAAACCAATGTAAGTGCAGTGTTTGTCGGGGTTTGAGACAGGGGTGTAAATCAGGGCCCAATCAGGGCCTGAGGCTCTAGGGCGCCCTCTGTGCTTGGGTCAGGCCACAGGAACCTGGGTCAGTAGAAGACCTCAGCCCATGGTTCTGACCTTGCCCCTGGCCTTCATACCCTGCATTCTGAGGAAGTTTTTAATCTTTAGGAAACTGCTCACTCCACTTTCATCTTGTTAGGAGAGAATGAAAATTGTCTGGCTCTCTTTGAACAGTCAACCCTATCATCTCTCATGTAACTGCAACATATGAAGAGTTGCTGCAAATAACTCCACATTCAACCTGGAAGGAGCAAGATGGATCAAAGATTTTGGCCTTGATCCTGTAAACAGTGCTGGTGTCAAACCAACATTACAAGATTTGTCTACTCTGTTTATTAGATTAAGTACAGGAAAATTGTGAACTAATGCTCCTATTTGGGTAATAGATTTTAATCAGATGAACATCTTGCAGCAGCCCATTCAATTGAGGGCATAATTACAGATTCTGACACAATCCACGATCCATGTAAAAATCTTAAGTTAGTTGTTTGAATAATTCTTGGCACATTCAGAATTGTTCAGTTTAAATATTGTCCAATTGCAGAATCACATCTGATGTTGGACACATGTTCTGAGTTTAGTTAGACCTGGTCTGTGTTTCACTTCTGCTTGCTAGAATCTATATAAGTAATGCGTAGGGCCTGGTCCTCTGCAGACAAAACAAATTTAATTTCACCCTCTGTCTTTTCAATTAAAGACTGGACTCTGGCATGAACGGTCAGACCACATGTGGAAGCCCCTGTGCTGAGCTCTTGCAATGCAATTTTTTTTTGAAACTTTTTTATCTGATTGTAATGTCAATCCTTTTACTGTCTTACTTCTAACTTATTCTTTAAACACTGTAAAGTAGTGCAATTACTTTTCTTTTTATTCCTCTTTTGTATCTAAGATTTGTACTTAGGTACTTGTCCCTAAGATGATGCCATAAGGCATGACATTGTAAAACTTTTCACTGTACTCCTGTATTTCTTTACTTGAATACACATGATAATAAAGGGTATTCTATCCTTTCTATTCTAAAGAACAGCTTGGAAGATACTGCTGCCCGTGGTAGTGACTCAACAGTTGACCTGCCTTATTTAAATATAAATGAAAGCTTTTCTCTATCAGTTCCCTAGTGCATTTTCTCCACGGTAAGGTCTCAACCAATCATAGTCCACTTGCCAATTAAGAAGGGCCCTGTTTCTCATGCAAGATAACTTAGTGTTGCCTTTGAAAGTTTAGTATTCTTGTCTCTGTCCTGATGAATGCAAGATGAACTGTTTCTTCTTTATTTATTTGTACATTGGATACAGGGATTGCTGGCTAGGTCAGCATTTACTGCCCATAGCTAATTGCACTGGAGAAGCTGATGATTGAGCTGCCTTCTTGAACAGTTCCAGTCCTTAAGATGTCGCAACACACACTGTCCTGATAGGTAGGGATCTCCAGAATTTAGACCCAGTAGCAATAAAGGAGTGGCAATATAGTTCCAAGTCAGGATGGTGTGTGGTTTGGAGGAGAACTTACTGGTGTAGTGTTCTCATGCATCTGCTGCCTTTATCCTTCTGAGTGATGGAGATTGTGATTTTGGAACGTGCTGTCAAAGAGAATTAACAGCACATCTCTCTTTTTAAGCAGCTTTTAATTTCAGTATATGACAAGACTATTTAAAAAATGACTCATTTCAACTCACCTCTTACTGTCAAGGAAGCTGTGGTTTGCTGATCCCCAGAAACACAGGTATATTCACCCGAGTCCTCAGATTTTAGGTCACATATACATAACATATGTACACAACCTTCCTGTTTGATTTTATATTTCTCACTTTGAAAAATTGTTGTTAATCCTTTCTTCCATACAACTGGAACATTGGCTTGTGAGAGTACACATGTTAAAGTTACTGTTCCGACCTCTTCCACTTCCATGTTTTGAAGCAGCTGAGTGAAAGTTGTTGGAGTAGCTGGAAAAAAATCAAGAAATCAATAGCATTCCTTTCCAAACACTTGTTTGGAATTGACTATGGTATGAATTGAATGGCAGTCTGCACCGAAGCTCACAATAATTTGTACTTGGTGTATAGCTTCCACCAATTGGCTAGAAACAGCAAATACAAAAAATAAAGTGGTGACCAAAAATGTAGATAATGTTTTCTACAGTGTAAGCAGTTAATGGAACCTAAAATAAATTATGTTCCTTTAAATTATGAAACAGCACCTGTTAGGTTTGCAAATTATTCAATATTAAAATGTTCTTGTACAAATGCTCCCTCAACAATGTGGAGAGTACACCTGCCAGTTTTTCTGGGCATTTTCAAAATTAATTATGAATTATTACCTTTAACAGTAAGCTGTGCTGAAGATGAGTACTTTCCAACTTTGAAGGTCACAGCTCCAGAGTCATCCTGTGTGACTTGCCTCAACATCAGTGTGTGAAAATTGCCATGCTTAATAGAAATTTCATTCATTTCATTATTCTGCAGTTCAATTCCTCCTAGAACCCACTGAACATCTCGTGTGTTCTCATGAGAGACTTTACATTCAAACAAAGCATCCCCACCTTCGACTACTTCCACGTTTTTCAAACCATCAACAATCGTTATATCTGGCTCTAGAAAAAAATGCATAATTTAATTGTAAGTTTTTTTGTATTTTAAACATTTGGGCCCCCAAATTCAGGAGATCCGGGAGGACAGAGAAAGGATAGAATCTGGAATAGAAGTATTTCTGCGGACCATTAATCCTTGAAGTACTCTGCAATGATGCAACATATTGGTTCTCTCTACGTATCCGAAGTGGTGTCAATGCCTATTTATGATAGTTAAATAAGAGACCGCCCCACCTGCGTCTTTACAGCATCAGGTTTAAGCTTTATGGTCTTTTTGTAACCTTCAAACTTAACACCAAAGGTGCTATATGGTATTTTCTGTTGTATTATTTTTGCTTATTGGTTTTAACTCCATCCTGGCAAATATACACTGTTTCATTTTATACTTCAAAATATGCTTCTGAATTGTCCAAAAACCTTTTTGCTGGGTCTTTCATTGAGGATTCTCGTAGCTGGACACTGTAACTGTGATGGTGGCGATTTTAATCATCCAACTAGGTTTTCATTATATTTTCTCCAAAATTAAACAAATGATTTGGAAAAGTAAGGATATTGCCAGGAAATGTGTTCTTTTGTTTCTTTGTCTCAATGGTGCTCATGTCAACTTCTGTTTTGTTAAAGTAATTTAGTTTAATTTGGAAAATTGGATCATATTTAGGTAATCGTATATACTACAGTAACAATATTTTCTTCCCTGGAATAGCTAAAGAAACAATGGCCTGTCCTTTCTACATCTCAGATAAGAGGTTCAATTTTCACTTTGTATGTGTGTGTGCATCGTGGTGGGGAGGGGTTGTAACATGGGAGAATAGCCACTGCTTTGAATTGGAATTTTAATCAGGGTGTCCCTTAACAAGCAAGCAATCTTCACACAGAAAGGGGTGGGCGTGTGGAATGTGCTGCCGGCAGTGTTAGTGAGTCAGATACTTTAGAGACTTTTAAGCGACTCTTGGATGGGCAAATGGAGATAGTAAAATGTGGGGTATGCAGGGTATCTTAGTAGGATAATAGGTCGGCACAACATCGTGGGCTGAAGGGCCTGTACTGTGCTGTACTGTTCTATGTTCTATGTTTAATCGGTTTTCCTTTCCAATTAATTGCTGTGAGCAGGCTCTCGTAACTTGAGGACAATCAACTGGCATCCAGCTACGGTAAAAGGTAAGTAACAGGGTGATTCAACATCAAAGTGCCTTCTCAGATAGTTTTTAAACAAATTAATTTGAAGAAGGCAAAATAAAACCAATACAGTGGGATGGATAGGTAAGCGGAGGATAGTTACTCTACAGGGTGCCATTGACTATAATCCAGCACAGGCAAGTAGAGAGGCTTTCAGGCAATGCCAGCAATCCTGCCTGCCCCTGGTTGCCTGGTTATAAGCAGTTAAAGAGCTACACCCCTCCGCCTCACCACCCCCAACCCTGAAGCCCCACCAAACAATTCATGAAACAAAGGGTTGTCTGTAAACCCCAGCCCTCCTTAACCTTATTTAACCTTAACAAGATTCTTAATGCACCTGACTGATGCTCGCCATGAGGTTGGGTGGTCTTTTCAGGTCCTGAATCTGAGTTACCAAAATGGCCGATGTCAAGAACAGAGTGGAAAACTGTCACACTGGCCTGACCCATAATTTCTCAGCCCCATCTACTTCCTTTCTTAGCATTGACAAGAACTAAAAATTCAATACAAGGAAACTGCAGTCCGTTTTTGACCTGTGGTGAGTAAGAAAACTGTGGTTTCTCATTTACCTGTCACAGTTACAGCAGCAGTGGTCTGTTGATCACCAGAATCACATGTATATTCTCCAGCATCTTCTATCTTTAGATTATGAATTAACAACTCAACAATGAGACCTTCATGTTTCATTTCATATTTGTCATTTGGTTGAAGTGCCACAGATCCCTTCCTCCATTCTACTGAGGCATCAGACTTAGTAAGTTCACAGCGCAATATGGCAGTGTGGCCTTCTTCTATTTCCACATTCTGAAGCCATTGCTTGAAAAGTGCAGGCAAAACTGAAAAATATTATCCGTATTATGATGCTTTAAAAGCAGAAAGAATTCATTATTGGTCAAATCACGAAAACAGAAAGTACTAAAGAATGTGAAGAGCCTCTGCGTCTATCAAAACTATAAAATACAAACACTTTCTAACACCTTTTAGTTTTGAAGTAGAGGCATTACGGATTCAAAGTGTCAACTCTTTCTCTCTCCACAGACACTGCCAGGCAGGTCCGGTTTCACTGTGTTTGTTTCGAATATCCAATGAATATTGACTTGTTTACCTTAACCAAGGTCAACCTTGATGAATCTTTATACTAAGTGTTCATAGAATCACTGTGTGGAAACAGGCTGTTCGGCCCAACCAGTCCACACAGACCTTCTGAAGATCATCCCACCCAGACCCATCCCCCTATCCTATCTCTGCATCTCCCATAGCTAATGCACCTAACCTACACATCCCTGATACACTATGGGCAGTCTAGCACGGCCAATCCACCTATCTTGCACATCTTTGGACTATGGGAAAAAGCGGACCACCTGGCGGAAACCCACACAGATACAGGGAGAACATGCAAACTCCACACAGAGAGTTGCCCAAAGCTGGAATCAAACCCGGGTCCCTGGCGCTGTGAAAGGTAGCAGTGCTAACCACTGAGCCACCATGCCGCCCCCCTCACCCACCAGCAGGAAAAAAAGTCTGACCATGATGTGTCTAATTGATGCATAAATATAAAGAGCCATCCAAACTGTTTTGATTGTGATGCTGCCAAGTGAGAAGTAATGATAGTCAACAGAGCAGTAATACCTAAGGAGATCTTCAGTGTACAACTGAGGTGGAATATACCAGCTATGCCCACTACCTGGCATACAGGAGACCCACAGAGAAGTGAAACTCTTGGGACTAGCAATTCAGATGTGGAACGGCCAGTTTTCTCTGTATCTGAATTTAGGATGTTTCTTGGGCTACAACATTAAAGGACATGTATGTGACCCGTAACAAGCAGTGCTGATGTAATCAGATGTTCTGCAATGTTCAGGAGTCATGAGGGATATTACACAGCTGTTCTCTAGATTGTGGAAACTTTGACAAGCTCTCTTAGTAACTCCTAAGAGGCATTTCCATTAGAAGGTTACACCGGTTACAGCAACATAACCAACTACCAAAGCACCTATGCAAGGTACTTTAGAATTACATGGAGGCATTTTAGTGACAATGGCTGGGGCCAGCGAAGGCTGCTGCTAAATTGTAATTTTAATACCTGAATATTCTGGGTAGCAATTTTCCGCACGATTTGGGACCCCGAAATTGCTTCCAAATTGAAGCCTGAGCTTCACCTGAGCAGCGCTCTGAACACTTGTGATTCCGAATAATCCTGTTGGACTATAACCTGGTGTTGTGTGACTTCTGACTTTGAAGTTAGAAGACAGAGTGGTGGTACAGGGCTGTTTTTCACCAGCAGTGTGCCACAGGGATCGCTCTGCGTCCATTGTTATTCATCATTTATATAAATGATTTGGATGAGAATTTAGGAGGTACGGTTAGTAAGTTTGCAGATAACACCAAGATTGGTGGTATAGTGGACAGTGAAGGAAGGTATCTGGCAATGCAGCAAGATCTTGATCAACTGAGCCAGTGGCTTGAGGGATGGCAGATAGAGTTTAATTTAGATAAATGCAAGGTGTTGAATTTTGGTAGGTCAAAACAGGGCAGGACTTACACAGTCAATGGTAGGGCCCTGGGGAGTGTTATGGAACAAAAAGATCTAGGGATATA